GTAGTTATTATGATAAAATGAGCATCACTTGGTATAAAACACAGGAAGGTCTGTGTATCTGCAGCTTTCTTAGCTCTTTTCAATGACTTTTCTAGTCCATTTTCTTCCTCTTTATAATGTATCTTTTTATTCCTTGACTGTTGACATGTCTCTGACTGCTTTGTCCTCTATGTGTGGACTGCAAGGTGCCTAAGCAATACCTCTTTTTTCCTTAACAGTGCATAAATCCAAGGAGCACTCAACAACAGTCCCCACTTCTACTGAGGGTGAAAATAGGCTCATCACTGACTCCCAGCCCAGGGCTTCAGCCCGTACGGCCACTCTGCCTTTACAGATGAGCACAAAGGAGGATGAGAGCAGATAGCTTCTAGGTGCGCTTCTCATCTATCCTGATGAAGAGCTTGAGTATCCAAAAATCTGCCTGAGTTTTTTTCTCCAAGCAGATCAGTTGGTCTAATGCATTAGTAATGTGTCTCCTGCAAACTCTGCCTCGCTAATGACCTCAGAGCACCACAGCTACAAGAAAGCTGCGACTAAATTACAAATAGTTAGTCATCTAGACTGATGGTGCAGCTCACATTTGGTGAGGCACTGAGGCAAATAGGTTGAACGTAGACTAATCCAAACATTTCCATTATTAGAGCACACTAGGCAGAGTTTCCACAGGATGGGAAGAAAACACGCTGGAGCGTCTCAAACAGTTTGCGTGTGATCCACTATAATCTTATATATATATTTTCTCCATTCTCTGGTTTCATCACAGTCTTACTGCCTCAGTGGAGGGATTTTGCTTTTGAGGGTGTTTATGTTACACAGAAAAAACCACTCAACTACTCCAAAGCTGGGATCATTTGAACAATCAATTAAACATTGGCAAAATTAGCCAAAAGCAGAGATATCTTATGCGGGATGTTAAATTTCTAGCTAGTAGTTGACCAAAGCATTCTTTAAACCAGTCATTTTATTAATCCCATTAAATCTTCTTGCCCATTATTCTATTAAAACTGACATCAGATTAATATCTTACTGTGTTTTAGCTCAGCTGGCAAAGTACTTTTAGCCAACACACTATTTTCAGAGTAAAGATTTTTATTTTTTTTTGCTTGAGAACAATAAGCCTGATTTTATTGAACTAGAAAGATTTGCTCATAACATATGCATGAGGTAATATTTAAATAAACCTGTTCAATATAATGCTAAGCATGTCACTTAGGTCCTGAGAAAGCAAGGTGCTGCTTTCAATTATGATTTTAATATACCTGAGCATGTGGGTACACCCATTAAAGTCAATGGGTTTATGCAGACGTCTAGGGTTAAAAGTGCTTTGCTGAAGAAGGATGATAGGACTAGAAATAAACACCACAGGATCCTCCTATATGCTGCAGCTGAGCCCTGTATAAGAACTGGCGTAAAATATACCTGACTCATATACAGGATGAATATTAATTCAAAACATACTCCAGCTTTGAATAGAGATGTATTTTACAAAACCTGCTGGCATTAATCTGCATGAAATACTGCCTTAGCTAATAAGAACACCCGGGCTTTATTTATATATTGAGCCATTTGATAGATACAAATGAAGAAAGAGGTAAATAGAAGCCAACATATTTTTGAATAAAAGCCCAGAGGTTCTCTCAGAGTTCAATGATCTTTGTGTCTAGATTATAAAGAATTCAGAACAGCTCCGTGTGACTTGCCAACTACTGAATAGAGCTCCAAAACATCTGTAATATTAAACAACTTCAAGCCTCCTTTTAATGCTTGTTTTCATCCAACAGTGATTTATAGAAATCT